GCCGCTTTCCCTCTGCCCCTCACGCCGCAGGCAAACCCCGGCCGGGTTCGCCCCTCAGAGGGGGCCGGGCAGCTCCGAGCTGCTGCGGTTTTCTTTTACGGCGTTATTTCTGTCCAGAAGTTGGTTTAATTCCCCGTTCTAAGCGTAAATTCGCTCCTGGTGCCCCATCATCAGCTACGACCGCGCAGAAGTGTGGGAGCAGCTCGGAACACCTGGCATTTGTTTTTCAAGGGCGAACGTCAGAATTTGTGGTGCTGCATGTGATAGCATATTTCCATACATTCTGTATGGCATGTCTAAATATTTTGATGGTTTTAATATTTTGTCCCCGCCGTGGAAACTGGTTTGCTGCTAGGTGACTGTAAAAGTGAGATTTGGTAAATAATTATTAGAAATCTTATACTAACACTATGATTGAAACAATAGACAAAAGTATAGCCAAGCAATTAACTAGTAGAGGTAGTTACTCATAAGTTTTGCAGTTCTTGGCTCTTATGACTAGATGTTCCTGTCCGCTAGATGAGAACAATGCTGAAACTGACCACATGTGTTTGAAACTGCGTTAAGCTTCAAGATCAAAGAACAAGGACAAGAATAAAGACTTTCCAGGACAGCCAACAAGAACTTCATCAAATGGGTCGGTGGTCGCAAAAGCAGCCCTTCGACTCAAATGGATCCTTCATTGCGCATGATCGGACGTAGGCAGTACTATGATAATCAGTTGTAATCATTTTTATGTGTATGTATACTAATCTGATTAATATGCAATTAGTTATTCTATATAACCTGTTAGTGCTAAAGCTGTGGCATGCACACTAGGTGGAACTATTCCCTGTGCATCCAGCGCTGCAAGAAAGAATGCCTGCTTTCTAAAACTCCAAAATGAGTCTTAGAGAGTTTCTTCGACCGGCTTTTCGGTATCGCATGTTTGCCAAGCCTCTGAAGAACTAGTTTTACAAGGTCAGGTCAGAGGATGGCCTGGTGTATGCCTGGGAAGATGTGGCTGAAGACAGTCACAAGTATGTGTATGGAATGTTTTTATCTTTAACTGTTCTGAGGACTGGCAAACATCCCAGCTGAGCCAGATATGTGCTCCTGGGTTAGTAATATTGGCTGTATGCCATTAGTTCTTTCTAGATCTTTGTTGAAACATATATAAGTTTGATTCTTTTGTGAAATAAATGGAATCTTGTACGGAGAGCTTGAGCGCTTAATTCAGTCGTGGCAGGAAGCACAACCAAATAGCAAAAAAAACCCCAAACACATGATTAATAATACTGCAATGAAACTGCTGTTTGAATTCAGTCATAGCAGTTTCAATTACACTTTGAATTTCTCCCTTAACAAAACTAAGAAGTTGGTAGTTTACTGCTCTCACATTTATTCTCGACTCTGATAGATGTGCATAATTAAAAGCGTTAAAAAACCCGGCATTTCAGAAAGGTCAAATCGTGACACCGTCGCCAGCACCTCCCCGCTTCAGTCTCTCCCGACAAGGTGCGTCTCCTGGGGCCTGTCGATGCGGAAGAGCAGCTCGGCGGGCAGGAGGTACCCCAGGTAGTGCACGCTGTCGGGGCTGGTGTCCTGGTGATAGTGCCCTCCATCCCCGTGGTGGCTGAAACAGTGGGTGTGCTCCAGGCGCAGGTCAAAGCCCTGTCACCAGAGAAAGGCCGGTGAACACTCGTTCACGTGAACTGTGGTTAAAAGTCCTGGGATAGCCTCTCCTTTATACCACATATTTCCACGCATCTCAGAGTCTGCTCCAACCAGTGAGCAGTGAAAACTTGTGAGACACTTGTGGTAAGACAAAAGAAGAGGCGCTGTACCAGGCTTTATACCATAGGACATCAAAGAGAAAAGAATTTAGAAACCCTGACAGCACCCAACTTTTGGTGTCAATCTCCCAGAGATTTTCTTTTTGTTGTTCTCTCTCTTTCCATTGGGATTAAATAAAGCAGTCACACCAAGGAACTACTACTGGAAATCAGAACGCCTTTGCGCTGAATGCCACAGGCCCACGCGGTAAAGGGACAATCTCTACTCCAATTCCAAGAGCCAGCTTAGATGAAAATGGGAAGAATAGCAAATAAAGTAACAACTAGCATAGTAAACCATGGGATCACCCCCACCACTTTTATATATGTCCTGGTTTCAGCTGGGATAGAGTTAATTGTCTTTCTGGTACCTGGTATAGTGCTATGTTTTGGATTCAGTATGAGGAGAATGGTGATAACACACTGAAGTCTTCAGTTGTTGCTAAGTTGTGTTTAGACTAGGTCAAGGATTTTTCAGCTTCTGATGCCCAGCCAGCAAGAAGGCTGGAGGGGCACAAGAAGTTGGGAGGGGACACAGCCAGGACAGCTGACCCAAACTGGCCAAAGGGGTATTCCATACCGTGTGACGTCATGCCCAGTATATAAACTGAGTGGAGTTGGCCCAGGGTGAGGATCGCTGCTCGGGAACTGACTGGGCATCGGTTGGCAAGTGGTGAGCAATTGCATTATGCATCACTTGTTTTGTATATTCCAATCCTTTTATTATTATTATTATTATTATTGTCATTTTATTATTGCTGTTATCATTATTATTTTCTTCCTTTCTGTCCTATTAAACTGTTCTTATCTCAACCCTTGAGTTTTACCTTTTTTTTTCCCCAACTCCCTCCCCCATTCCACTGGGTGAGGGGGAAGTGAGTGAGCGGCTGCATGGTGCTTAGTTGCTGGCTGGGGCTAAACCATAACAATGTATCATAGAATCCTGGAATGGTTTGGATTGGAAGAGACCTTTAAAGATCACCTAGTTCAACCCCCACTGCCATGGGCAGGGACACCTTCCACTAGACCAGGTTGCTCAAAGCTCCATCCAACCTGCCTTTGAACACTCCCAGGGATGGAGCATCCACAGTTTCTCTGGACAACCTGTTCCAGTGTCTCATCACCCTCATTGTAAAAAATTTCTTCTTTATGTCCAATCTAAATCTACTCCCTTTCAGTTTAAAACCATTGCTCCTTCTCCTGTCACTACCGGGCCTGGGAAAAAGTCTCTCTCCATCTTTCTTATAAGCCCCCTTTAAGTATTGAAAGGCCACAATAAGGTCTCCCCGGAGCCTTCTCCTATGCACGCTGAACAACCCCAACTATCTCAGCCTGTCTTCACAGGAGAGGTTCTCCAGCCCTCGGACCATTTTCATGGCCCTCCTCTGGACCCTGTCCAACAGGTCCATGTCTTTCTTGGGGCCCCAGAGCTGCATGCAGCACTCTAGGTGGGGTCTCAGCAGGGGGAGAATCACCTCCCTTGACCTGTTGGTCACGCTTCTTCTGATACAGCCCAGAATATGGTTTGTTTTCAGGGCTGCAAGAGGATACTGATGAGCAATGCTATGGCGTTTGAATGCCACCTTCTGCTGTTGTCCCTATAGTGACACTCACATTTCCAAAACCATAGGCTTAGCCGAGTGCTGTTGAGCTTGCAGTGGATAGAGATGGGAGTAACCCAGCTGCATCGACTGCACAAGTTGCATTGGTTCTGAATGGAGCAGCTGTTGATGGCTGTTTTCAATGTGCTCATCAGTTGATTCTGGGAAGATGCACACAATTTAGCCTTATGCCAAAGGCTGCCACATAATGACACGATAAAGTCATACCCTTGAATGTATCCAAGCCTACAGCATGTCTCATTTAACTCTAGAAAAAATGGTTTTTATATTACTTATGACTGGACTGTTATTTATAAAATAGTCATTTTCATCAATGGTTTCCTGGTTACTTTTAAATAAATAGACTTCCTAATGGTGAACATCTTAATGGCTTTTGAAACTAGATTGGTTTTTATCCTGAATTGTTTGCTGTTGAATCTAGTGCTTGTGGAAGATGCTAGATAACTTTCTAGCATGAGGCTTTGCAGACTTTAATTTGTATCAGCAATTATGAAACACATGCTTCACATATTTTGACACAGTATTAGCAGAGACAGTTCTTATGAAAGTGAACTACATGAACACACAGTTGAACAAGCTTCCATGCTCTTGACATTTCTCCTTGTGTGGCCAGCAGTGAATGCAAACTATGCTGTTGGGTTTGGGACACAAACACTTGCACACTTGCAGTTGGAACCGAACCATTAAGTTCAATCCACTACGAACAGCCACTAGGTTTCAGAATGACCTAGCCTCAATTCAAACCAGTGACAGAAATGAGAAGCTTCTATTTCATTACATCATCTCTGGAAGAGTTTAACACAATATATATGCACTCTGGTTCTGAAAAGGAAAACCATATCCAAGACAGAATTCATCACAAGTCTCAGTTTATACTTAGAAATGAGAAAGAGACTCACTGGATCTCTGGAAACTATTACCGGCTGACAAATCAGGGGAGCCTTCATTTCAAAGAATTTGAGCCAGTTATTCACATCCTCATCAGTATTCAGAGGACAGGCAGAAAATTCTGGAGGCTACAGCAAAAGTAAAAGCTTTATAAGTGAAAGGAAGACACTTGTATGAAGATATTTTTTCTCTAGCAACTTTCCTTGGCTTTTCCCCTCCCCACTATTCTGTTCACATTCCTTCTTGCCTAAAAGAAGCTCACCAGTGCCCATTACTGTGTTTCTGCCAGAAACAGAAGTGACCAGAATATTGCTTCTTTCATTGCACAGGTAGTGGGAGAACTACTGAAGTAAGGATTCTCCTCCTGGTACATTTTAGAAGCTCAAGCATTTTTTAAAAATCTGTTTCTTCTTATAAGTATCATCTCAGTTAATGTATTTGATTTTAATTCATTTTATAATAGTTCTACAGTTCTTTAGCTGCCCACAGATTTCAAAAGAAAAGATGACGGTACTAAGGCCAAGTAATACAGCATCACTAGTTCTGTAACATCAGTTTTGTAATACCAGCTCCTTACTTTAATGCACTGCTTATCCTAACAGTTTATGCATACATTTAA